AATGTATAGTTAATTTAGGTACACAATTAGGACAATGATAATCTAATTATAGAGAATGAAAAAGAAGGCCCTCCAAAGTAGTTTAAAGAGAACTTTATAGATTTAAGGAGATCCATTAGATAATAAAAATATGCAGTCGTAAACGATAATATGCCAAAATTAAATAAAATTAAAATATACAGCCCTTTCAAATCGTTCACTCGGCTCGCTTCTCGTATACTAAAAGCAGATAATCAAATAAATTTACTTGTTCAGGGTTAATTTATCCATAGAACAGTATTTTCGAGGCAGAAGTGTGAGTTGACAGAATTTCTGGATTTTCAAATATACGGAGAAATTTCATTAAAATTATTTATTTAGGCTAGACACACAAATTGTGTGATTCGATTCCACAGGGGTATCAATTTCTTCTTCTTCTTCATATGAATATAAATGATAATAAATAGCTTAAATTAATTGTAAACTCAGTCGAAATTTATTCAACGTAATTTTAAGCCGACGTAAATAAGATGTTTATCTAGCACTTAGATGTAAGCTTTAAATAATCAAAACTTGCATAACAAATGGGAAAAATTACATAGAATTGAGCACTCGATACAATTCGGAATCATAGTTAAAATCTTATTTGATAGCCGGCAATAGTAGTGCTTCTTACCAGGGCCATAACACCTAACACGAGCAGGGTTTGTTTTAGGTCTTAATGGAGCTCCTGGTTTAAGCTTTGCACTGGGAAATTGACTAAGATATGTCATCATAGCCTTTTCATCCACGTCAGCATCTATCATCTCTTCTGGTCGTATCAACTGTGGGACTTCAAGCCATTGCTGTGCAGCATCCATAGCCTCTGTTGCATTCCGCAAAGGTTGTCTATGGTCCCAAATAGACCAATCAGGGCAAAGTCCAGGTGCACAGGCATCAACGAGGGCGCCGATAGCGATACCGCTATTCCAGTCAGTTGTAAAATTTCTAACAGGAACGTCAGGCATTTTCTGTCTGACCCAACTAAAGAGCCTTTGTTTTGGTCGCGATTTTTCGTCCTTTACAGTATAAAAGTGAAAAAAATTCAAATGATAAGCGAGAAGAATAAATTTTTCTATTTAGAGAAGCAAGCAAATAGCATCCACTTTTTAAACTAATATAAAAGATAAAGCCAAGAGCAGTAGTGCACATGGATAATGAGTGAGGAAGGTTGAGCAACATAGAGGGGAATAAAATTGACGTGAAAAT